TTAAGGAAACAAGCCCAGGGTATTATGGGATGGGCACGACAGACGGTTGGACTAGGTTCCCTTCCAACTCTTCAGACCTAAGATTCTGGGTTGTACTTCCTAAGTTAGCCTGTAGCATCGAGTTGTGATGAATGACATTGTCCCATTGCTAACGTTGAAATAAGATTCAGCCTCCAGCTTATGCCTGCAAAACTAGGTACGGGGAGACAGGCATTGAACATCTCCATCTGGTGCCACAGAATGTCTGGGGTGATGCTGAGTATTGTCAATCTAGTGTTGTGACAAGGAAGCCTTCAATCTTGTTGGGCTGGATCGGTAAGGTCATGAAATAGCATGTTCGTCAATGCTCTAAGTGGAGCATGTTCACGATTGGGCCTTCAGGAGGTATGGAGAAACTCAGTTTGGCTAAAAAAAACCCACCTAGGGTAGAAACAAAGGAAGAAGGAAAGATTATTGAAGGTGTGAGATTGAAGAATAGCAAAGATCAATGGAGACAATTTATTAGATACAGGGTCTTCAACTTCTGAAAACTTGAGGGCTGCATCAGTCACTCCATGAAGGCCATATCTAAAAGGTTCAGCTTCCATCAGTCCAACTTTGGGGAGAAGGAGGGCTGAAGGAGTGTGATGGTGTCTTAAGCTTTTGCATGGCCAAAGGCACCCATTTCATTTCCTAAAACCCTACACAAGCCCCCCTCAAACATGGGAAAAGATCAAAGTACCTGTGGACCACATTTTTTTCTGTCCTCCCCTGGCTTAAGAAAGTGAAAAGCCGCCTCCTGTTTCATGCTGCTGTCAAAAATGACCACTCTCCCTCTGACCCAAACTCTATGAAGGGGAGCAGTTTGGACCAACCCACCAGTTCTTGAGCTGCAGTCTTTCCGTAGGTAAGGTGTGCAATTCTTCCCCACATCTTTTCTTGCACTGCTTGATGAGAACTTGCTGCCCTGTTTGCTTTCGAGGCTCATCTGCTGGCTAGTAATCAAATTGTTTCATCCGCATTCTGGACTACGTTGCAGCGAGAAAGTGAACTGAGATTGTTTTGACAACGGCCCTTCATGATCTCGTCTCTGTCAAGATTCCGTCTATCCAGGGAGAGACTGGCTGAGGGAAGACCAAACTTTGACAAGAAGCCGATTTAGGGTATCGGTAAATTAGAGACAAGAAAGGGGCTTGTTGTGACAGGTCTCAAACATAGCCTGATTAAACACTCACACAGAAACTGTGCATCATCCGCCTGGATGACGGAGGAAAATTGGGGCAGTGTTTAATTAGGATCATCTTTCCAAAAGACTCTCGTCCTCCAACAGTGGCTCTGGAGCAAACATGGTAGCACTAACCGAAAAACAAGTTCAGGTCAATCCTGATTGGCTGAAGACACCCCCGTCCCCGATCATCAATATTCCTCCATCAGACAGACACAACTTGCAACCATGTATGTTCTCCAAAGGGCATTGTGGGCAACACCCAGAACCAGGGGCATCTGCAGAGTTGGTCAAAAAAGTCAAGATGGCAGTTGCCACTGAGCAATTAGAGCCTCATCTCTTTTCCTGTGTCCCAAAGCCCAGAAAATGGATTGTGCTGCTGTGGATTTCGGAAACAACTGCCAGTGTACTGTTGAATGCAACAGCTGTAAGCAACGATTAAATACCTTGAGGAGTTACCCTCTTTGCTGTAAAAGCTATTACCTAGTTGTAATTTTTAATGCAACAGATGTGGGCCATGATTAAATGTACAGAGGACTTCATCTACTAACTGTAATTTACAATACATCAAAGCTTGTCTGCAGTCTAGTCCCCCTCAAAGGTCATGTAGGGTCCTTGACCTCAAACAAATAATCAGCCTCTATTTTATGTCATCAGTTGGTTGTTTCTGATTTAGGGAGTAAAGTTCTCAACCTAGAGAAGAAATGTGATGGATAATACTGAGTTCTGCCCACATCCCAGGTCTTGAAATTCCCCTTTTTTCTGCCCAGGAATGGAGCTGAGGAACCCAGGGAGATTTCAGACAAGTTCTGGCATATGTTTGTAATGTTCTTTACTTCTCTATAGCAACACAAGATAGCATGTTAGTTATTCATCCCCCTGCCCCAACAATAATGCAGAAGAGAATGTATCCCCAGCAGTTGTGCAAACCATTTAGATGACCTCAGAAGATGGAATAGAGCTGTGCAACCTTTCCAGTTCAATCTTCAAATGGATGACGTCTCCAATCTCCTTCCCGATGATGTTCAGGAAGCTATTGAAGACCCGGCTATTCTCCCCAGCTCTAGGGCAGAGTGAAGGTTGAGCCCTTGCTGGATGGGTCTGTGGTATGTTTGTTAGATGTTGTTTTGGGGGCTGTTCATTTTATGGTTTTTGCACTTTTTCACTTTTTAATGGTAAGCTGCCCAGAGTTGTTGAGGGTCAGGCGGTCTATAAATTGTATCATCATGTTGGAACATGTTGTTCAATTGCAACCCATAAAGTAGCCGTATCATTCAAGGGGACCATGTGACAGCCGTGCCATTCTGGGGGGAAAGACATAGCTGCTTTAAGGGGTTGCAGAAATACTCTAGGTGTGTTCCCCATCTGCTTCAAAGCACTTTTTGGAGGTTGATTCCAAATGATTGCACAGCTGTAGATGGGATTTTACTGAAGTGCTAAGTAGCTCCAATGAGAATTTGCAGCTGTGTTTTTTTAACAGAACGTACCAATGTGCCAGGAATCAAGCAGGATTAGGACAAGGAGTAAGTTAAGAGGTTTTTCCAGCAAGGCCCAATGTTTGCTTACTACAATATTTATATAATGCCGACTCCATAAAGATTACAGGCAGTTTATGGTTATCTACATGTAAAATTAATGAAAAAACAACAGAAAAGCATTGAAAATGATCGATTGCTATTTTTACAAGCATCCACTGATCAAACAACATTCTTACAAATGTAAAAGCTTTGCAAAGAGCTCTATTTTAACTGCCTTTCTGAACATCTGAATTTCTGGATGTTACTATTCCCAAAAAATTTGGGCTCTCTCTGTCTCACATGATTTGTTCCTGTCCATCCATGGATCTTTTGGGGACTCGAGACATTAGACATATTAACATAACTTTGGGGGAAAACATAGCTGTCAAAGAGGTAAATGTGATGTTGAATTATTCTCCAAAAATACAGAGTTTGAAAGAGTTATGGAGAACTCTCACTCCACTGACCATGGGGTTCCACAAAGAGAATTATCCTACATATGTAAAAAAATGTTTACATTCTTGATGTTAAAAGAGATGTGTCCCCTATCAATTTCTGGAATGTATTTACACCCTAAAAATGTGAAGATGGAGCAGTATGTTTTATATGGTCCAGATTTAACGATACGTTAAAAGGATTGAGCTGGTCAATTTAATTTATTAAATTTATATACCACCCAACTCCCGGGGACTCTGGACAGTTTATATTATATTACATGGATTTCTTTTTTTTTTCTTTTCCTTTTTCCTTCCATTTTACTTCACTTTAATTACCATGAAGTGATGATTTTTTTTTAACTATCTAAATCACAGTATTGTTATTACTGTTGCTGTGTATTATATTTTGCCTGTTAAATATTTCACTGAAAAAAAATATTCCAGAGGGATGGAGCCCAACAGTGATGTCTTCTGGGTCCCTTCCTAAACCACCCATAAAGGGGTGTGTGGGGTGTGTGTGTGGGGGGGGGTGTGTGTGAGAGAGAGAGAGAGAGAGAGCAACCACACAGATCTTCCTTCCTGCCTTTGAATCCAGAATTGCTTGACTAATATTGTGATTTCTGCCTGGGATGTAGATTGTCTTCCGTTCAATGCTTCTAATAGTTGGAAGCAAAGGAAATCTTTCCTAAGGATTGATGAAAGAAAAAACCCGCTCAGATCGTCGTCGTTTTTAAAGAGTGGCTCAGCACAACGAAACCAGTCGCTTGCAATGAGGCCACAGCTTCGGAAACAACAGAGAGGCGTTCTCAGATACCGACAGAATTAGCACCAGCAAGAGTTTGCTCAGCTTCTCCTTGCGGGAGACATCATCGGCAACCTTAAAGTTGACATCGAGACAAGTAACATCCATCACCGAGTGAGATTTCCGAAGGTTGGCAGGAAGATGGAGAAGTTTCCTTCATTGAAACGGCACGGGGTCATGGACTTCAAACGCTCACTTATTCAATCTTCCATGCCAGGGTAGATGCGTCTCCTTTGGTGAGGCGCCACCGTGACGATGCTTTCCCTGCAGAACTTAATTCGCCAAATTCAGGTCTCCTGATGGACAACGTGGTGCAGTGCTGCTGTTGCAGCGCCCTGCCCGGCTTTGGGTCGATTGCTCCCTTTCTCGGCCCAGCCGACCCACAGGGTGGGTCTGAACGAAATGGAGATTTCAGCTGTTACACCACCGTGGACTCCTGAAGAAAACAGGCAAGATATATACCAAGCTTACCAACCAACCAGGCAGTTACCATGCCAACCACTAGCTGGGGTGCCCGCAGAGTGGGGTCAAAAGTCAAGAGGGTAGCCAGGAGGCACAAAGAAAGGAGGCGGAGCTTCAATTGCACCATCAAGGCCACCATCTTGACTTTTTTAATCATACCCTGTGGATCATCCAGCAGTAAGTCACATTCTCCAAGCATGACATGCATGAAGATTGGCTTTGCTCCTAGTGATCAAGAAGGGACGTTGCCCCCAATGGTTGGTGCTTGAGGTGCTTCAAGGTATTCAGCATCATGACAGCTTTTATTATTCATTCATTCATTCATTCATTCATTCATTCATTCATTCATTCATTCATTCATTCTTCACTTTAAAAATACCCTTCCTGTCTCTCTCCAATGTCTGTCAGGGAATCCAATAAACTTTATGTGGTTAGAAAATGAATTATTTCCTTCTGCTATTGCCCTGCAGGCAGGCTGGGCTGGATTTAAAGGAAGAAGCCAGCATCGCGATGAACGCTGTAGGAGGAATAAGAGGGACGAATATATGCAAAGATATTCAGGAAGTCCTTCTGAGGAATTTTAATATCAGGCCTGTGTTTTGAAATTTTCCTTTCCAACACGAAAGGAAACACCTTCGTCGGATGGAGCGATCTACTTTAAAGAGTGGCTGACTCAGACAGCTGTTCTCACTCTGAACTCCAGAATTAGTAGAGAAGTACAATGCAGTGCCATTTCCACGCCAGAAAAATGCATGTTGAAGTTAAACATTCAGCCAGCAACATTAAATTTTTCCGGTTTTGGAGCATTCTTGCTTGCTTGCTTATGTAGGGTTTATCTGTCTGTTTAGGGACCATTTTTTCCTCTGGCATCTTTTACACAGCAATACCTCCTTTTTTTCTTTCTAACAATGATTTCAGAATGACCGAATCCAGTCTCCCGGAGCGAATCATGACTAATTCTGCAAACAGAAGTGGGAAAAGACAGATGAGTTGTGGCACCTCTTAGCACAAATTGCTGAGGTTGCATCTGATAACGGGGGAAATGCTTTGCAGCTTGTTATTCGTTGCAACTTATGAGTCCTGTATCTTGTACCATGATAACATCTGTTTGCCTGCCAGACAGCTAGAATTCGGAAGGACAGAGATGCCCACCCCAAATGGCTTTTGCAAGACTCGCGTTGACTGATAATGAGTCAAAGGCAGAAGAACTGGAACAGGTGCACGGAAAGGTGTACAAAGAACCCAGCAATGCTGCGGTCGAGCTTAAACTGAACTGTTCCCAAGGATGTGGCTGAAAAAGCCAGCCCTCAACCTACCCAGTCTGTGAATGGTAGAACAACAGGGGGTGGGGGACATCAAAAACATTTTGTCCTCCGTTTGAAAGGCCTCCTTCGAAGAATGAGAAAGGAACAAAGCTCCTGAGCTGTTAGTCTCTGGAGTTCCCCGGATGGAAGAGTTAGCAAGGCGGGAAGAAGGGGGACAGTGCGTAGGCGCTGCAATTGCATTTATTGTTGCTCGGCTGCATGAGGTCCAAAGCACATCTTCTGAATTCCTTTAAATCCTGTGTAGCCTTGATGCATTGTATAGTAAATTGGCCCAACAGAATGGG